AAGGATTTTACAGAATGGAATTACGATGGGAAAAGTGGAAAATTTCAAGTATTTCAGACCTGCATTGACTAGTGGTGACCGTTTTCACTGATTTTGAAATGAAACAGTATATCAATCTGACATGAATTATGATAAACTGTATAACATATGGAAGGATCCAATTATAAATACACACGCAAAAATCACTAATCTGGAATCAATCGTACTCACGGTGCTCATTTACAGTTGCGAAACATCTGCGATCACTAAACGTCATGAAGCTCGTCTAGAGAGCTTCCAACAGTGGTGTCTACGAAGTATCGCCAAAGTGCGATGGTACAACCAAGTCACGAACGTGCAACTGCTAACCATCGGCGATCTGAGAAAACTATCCGATGGACCTAGATACTGGCGCCTGCCTTAGATTGACAAAACAACTCTATAAGAGAATAGAGTTCTTTTCAAAACTTTACTCACCCGGGAACCGCCAAATGGTCACAGACGCGTTACAAGAGAGTACAAGACACGGAAACAACTGGCTGAAGTAGATCTAGTGGCGATGAGGAATATAACCTTTACAGCCGCAGTAAACGTTGCCTAATGCTAATCTGAGATACCATTTCTAAAAAGCAGACATAATAAATCTGAGTTACTCGGATGTTTAAGCTTCGCTATATTTTGATGAAGATGAAAAAACAACACACATTCGTAAATTTAAAATATAGGCTTATATTCTTATAATCTTTACGCTACTCATTTGCTAAAATCCTGCAGAATTTTTTAATTCCAAAAAGATGACCAATAAACTTCAGCATGTCCGTACGAATTTACAAAACAAAGGTTTAAGTATAATAATAAATCATAGATCAGACTCGTGCGGTTTTCTACCGATACTTTTCAGGAATTCGTAAGACATTTCGGAGGCATCCTGCATTCCGACCGAGTACCAACCAGACTCAGTGATGTGAAACACTGCAAAACAAGACAATGTTTAAAAACCAGAATAAGCATGGGAAAAATAAGTTTTTTTATACAGTTGCAGAATCCTCCAGAACCGATATCGCGATACGTCGCGTGCATGATCGCTTTCCGACCCAAATTATAAGCCTCTTCGTCAGTCATCTTCGGCTTGTAAAAAGTGTCCAAAATTCCGTATGCGTTCAGTGAACCGGAACCGCATGAAAACATTTCTCCCTTGATACGCAACCCGCTGTCGTTCACGAAGTAAACTGACGGTCCCTGAAAATATGTGACATTTCAGATGACGATTCCACTATCGTTTGCCAATTGAGCTTTTCATTTTTACCTTTTTATCGAATCCGGCAAGTATGATCCCCTAAAATTACAGTTACAAAACTGGTATATTATTAAAAAACGTTTTACCGCAGAGAGTCCCATCCCTTTATAACTGTATAAAACATTTTGCAACAACTTGGAAGCCGCGGAAACCGTTACCTTTTCTTTGTTCTGAAGTTCGAACAGTCTAATCATTACTATTATCGACAAGTAAAGATGTAAAGCAGAAAAAAATCACCTGCAGTGCTTTGAAAGGACACGTAACCAAAACTGACAGTCCGCCGCACCACCTGCCAAAGTGCCCATTATGTGATCGGTCACTTCCAGGATTTTTTTCACTGTACTCGAGGCTATAATAAACCATAAAAATTTATAAAATTTTGTTCGCCATAAATTCAGAATCGTATTAATGATACAAAAATGTGCAACTCTAGGTAAAAATGAAATAGAAACGAAAGTGTGCTTTGCCAATTGCCAACTCGTCTAAATAGAGCCATGAATGTGCTTAAGTAAGAAACGGTCGGTTTCCACTAGCAAAATAACAATAAATGAAAAATAAGGGATGAACACTTCAACTTTAAGACAAATTACCTGATGAACAACGGAAATGAAAAAATCTTCCGTATAAATTATAAAACAGTCAAGTACCAATGAATTCCCCAGAAGTGGCTCGCGAATCAGCTGCCATGATAATTCCGCCCTTGTCATTTTCGGTTAGGCCAGTATAGATGAAGCTCAGGGTAGTTGTTCCTTTGTAGAAGTGAAGCTTCGAGCGATCATTTCCTTTGTCAGTCATGCCAAAATGGGCGTTAACGAAGCCCTTGGCCTAAAAAACCAAGCTGTCTCATAATGACTTTAACTGTTACATTAGCATTTGTTCTCGGATCTCATGAATACAACATGCAGAGCAGATTAATTATCCAAAACATTTATAATTGTTCTACATATTAAGAACAAAATTTACATCTTGAAAGTTTTCGATTCTAGGATTAAACTTCATCAATAAACGATTCTCTTTACGCAAAATTAAACGTAAAAACAATATAGAAATGTTTCGAAATCAACGATTACAAACTTTGCGTGTGAACAAATTATTCAAACTTAAACTTGCTTTGGAGAAAGGTACAAAAATAAAATACTGTGAATGTTAACTGTACAACACAATTCAATCACTAGTTCCGGAAAGTAATATAACAGAGAAGTCTAAGAACACTTACATCCAAAAAAGGACTAAGAGGAAAACCTTCTTTTGAAAGTAATTCCTCGCCCTGTAACGGACATGAAAGTTCATCTCGAAAAACTTTGTCATATCCGGAAATCGAGGCAAGAGCCATATTCTTCGAGGTTGGCAAATTGACCTTAAAATTTAAGAAAAATGTACATATAACATTCAATGCAGCATCTTCGAGAAAAACAGACGAAAACGCAAACGAAAAGTAATAAACCGCGAAACCTAACTTTAAGACGATCTAGAATATTGTAGAATTAAGATATTTAAAACATATTCTGTAAGAAGCTTAAGTATTTTGTCAACTGAAGACCGGTACTGTGCAAACTGCAGCTTAATTCCATAAGATAAAATGTACCTCACAATTTCACCTTTTCTCTAAGAGTAGTATTAAATCGTACATCATTTACTGTAGCATTCTGTCTGATTAACAGGAAACAGAGACCCGGGCGAACATTATTTAGCAATTAATTAACCGTATTACTACTGTGATTCAGCTGATTTTATTCCATCGATGGCATCTATCCTTTGTTCAGGAACACCGCAATCTGGGGCTTTTTCAAAAAAGAATTTTTAAACAAACATTTATTGTACAGTTTACCATAACATATTCGTATTCTAAGGTATTTGTAAGCGAAAACGCATGTGCAAAGCGAAGTTGTATGAGTATTTGTATGCAGTGATTAATCCAAATCAGGGTTGCACCTAGTGTTGTTTATTACAGGTTATGAACCGTTATAGCGTGTTAGGGCGAATTGTAAAAATAATTTTTGTTTGCGTTAAACAGCATGGCGGTACACTTTGTGCATTTTGGCATGACCAGACTAGAATACTATACCATCCTTATTACTCACGCCATCGAGATTTTGTCCGTGTCTCAACAGTGCAGGATTAATTTCATGCCGGAAATTTGCTGTGGATTCGAAGTCTGTATTTTTATGGCTGTGGCGCAGTTGTTTCGTAGGTTGCTCTGCACGCTAGAGTGTGACGTCAATTTTCTTCTTATTATGTAACTTTAGGTCTGTTTCTTCTGTTAACTGCTGTTTCCCTTAAACCAAAATTCTCCTACTTTTGCTTCGGTGCAACTAGCAGAAAAAACGGAAGCAGGTGGTGACCTGATTATACTAGGAGGTGCAAGATGCCTTGATGTAGTCATGCCAAAGCGTGTGGTCATATTCCCAGACTCCTGCACTTTACGGCTGCACTTCGCCCTAACTCTTGAGCTTATTCAAACCGACACCTAAAGGGTTCAGTGCCGACTACTTAGCTCCCGTTCCAATTCGTGCTAATCAACCTGTCAAGTGCAGCAGATCATTAGAAAACGATCAGTTTTTTTAATGATTAGAGTTAACCGTGTATGTTACAATTCCATTTAAATGAAATTGAATAAATATTTTGGGCCATCTATTAAAATAAATGGACACTTCTGCGTATCATTTGAATAATGTAGAATGGATCGATGGGTGCGCGCGAATATGTTCAACACCAAGGTCCTGAACAATCTTGTATCTGATCGTGACCAATATCTGTATGATATGTACAAATTTTGAAGAACCCATTGTATAGATGAAGTGCTTTCTTAGTGCCCAGTTCGTGACTCAGATTTCCAATAAGACAGAAGGGGTCGCGATTAGTTGTTTAAAGGTAACTTATGCACGCCTAGTTCACTTTTACGAAAATAGCGAAAATTTAGGAAAATAGCGAAAATTTAGGAAAATAGCGAAAAATTGCTAACTGCTAAATCCCTTGCGGAATGCTGTCTGATGGGTGTGCCTTGACCCACCTGAGAGATGACTGAAAATTAACGCAAGGTCTAAAACCGATATAAAAATATGTGCTATATTTTGAGCGAAATCTTCTAATACCTAGTCCAAGACCCTTCTCTCACCCTTTATGAACCTGAGATGCAAAATTGTTCCGGATCTTCTCCCTGAATTAACAACTGCGTCTCACTCATCGTTCATTTGTTCTAAAATATGCAATAAATGAAAAATATCTTAGTCGAATAAATTTTTCGCGATACCTGATTTGAAACTTCTCGCTTGATTGCAATCGAATTTGTTTCTGGGTAATGTACCACTTACTCTACGGCAGATCATGCTCCATACTTCGTAATCCTCTAGATTCTGATTCAAGAGACAAGCCTTATTTTCTTACTAACTGCAGATTTTTATTTACTCAGTGATGAAATTTTCTGTTAACCGATAGAAGAAAAATGAGCCAATGCCATGCAAACGTTTCAAACTGCAAAATGTTATGACGTGATCAGGAAAGAAGTCCATTAATTTGAGCATCGAGAAAGATCTAGAGGTGCAAAAAAGCATAAGTAATCTACAATACAACAAATCGTTAGAAAAAGTGATGCGCAAAATGGGTTGACATTGGCCTCAGCACATTTCTACGCAATTACTTATTCGTGTTGCCTTAAGATTCGTTCGCGATTCGATATTCATGTTAAAATCCTATGAATAAAATTTACACACTATTTTTTCATTCAGTTTATTTGAGATTGTGTTAATAGACCATTAAAAAGTAATGGGCATCATTTTCATTGATTTCTATAGAAAAACGATCATTTTAAAGTCACTTACTCCGTGAGCATACAATCACAGTTAATGAGCGAAACGAAAATACAATCACATCTAAAGATTTTTGATTAGTCACATTACTAATAGGAAGAAATAAACATTCTTCGTTACGAAATGGCACCATTTGAGCCCGTAGATCATCTTGACATCCCTGAAAACAGAGATGATACATGTCGTAATGAATCATACATCGAATGTTTTGTTTACTTTCAGCAATATACACTAGGCGCTTTAAGTTCAGCTGATTATTCATGAAATTGAAGTTTAAAACAACGCCACGTTTCACTTGGCAGTAGGTAAGTTTATGATATGAAGGAAGAGTCAGTGGAGGAAAAGCAGGAGGAAAAATTAGCACATATTCCTTAAAATTAACACATATAGCCTTAAGTTATGAAAAGCGGCACGTTTTCACTTAGTCGAAACAAAGTAAATGACATAATTACCAACTGCGCAATATTTCAGGACATCCCGGTCATACGATTTTGTGATCTCTGACTTAGAAGTTTATTACTGAGAGTTTTTCTGGGACTAGGCAGAGGATAATTCTCTTGCGAAGGGACTGGAGCAAAATTTAAGTTTTATGTTAAATTTTTCTTCCTCATTGATAAGTTATTCTGTTATGCTAAGTTTGTTTTGTTAAGTTTTTTAAGTTTTTAATGTTACATTTTGTTGTTATGTTATGTTTTTGTTGTTAAGTTTTTCCTCCTCATTTTGATCAATCAGACAAAGATGTGAGAGCCTATGGCTTTAATTAGCTTCAAAGCAAACTAGCACGACCAACCTTACACCGGAAGTTTAAATTATTCGGCATAATGCATACAGCAAAGTACAGAACCAAGGCTGTTAGACAATGTAATTTGCGATACGTAATGAACAAAATTAAGATGTACGCAAGTTGGACGGAATTCTTTCGTTCACTTATGTGTACTTCAAACTCGAACTCTCGGTTACACGGAAGCTGACTGTTGCAATCTGTTTTGCGTTGGTCCTCCTCTTCATTCTTCAGGTGGAAGCATCGTCCGGATGTTGAAAATCATGTAACTAATTTGTGTCATATCGCCTTTAAATAGCTTCTTTTTGCTGATTTTCGGCGACACATGATTTGCATAATAATGCAAGGCAGCCGTCGAGAGGCGTGTCTTCCAACAATCGACGATGCTCACCTCGCACTGCCGCCTACCCAACCTCGTCACCTCATGCAGCAAATCGAAGCTCCCGAAACGACGTTGGAATACGAATTGGGCAGGTGCAGCGACGTGCATACAGCCATTGCCATACCGATCGACGGGCACATCGTCACAGCTGCTGCCGTTTTTCCAGAAAAACGAAGACAACCACCATACCGATTTCCAGACCGCGGAATAATACTAAAGTATAATGTAGTCATTGACACTAATTTGCATTTACTTGAATTTTCTTTTCGTTTCTTCTTTCTCATCCGCTTTTTTTCTTCGCCTTTTTCTTCGGTTTCTTACGTTTGAAATAAGACCTTGAGACGTATGACCTTAAAACGATGTCATTCATTCTGTCGTATATACAGAGAAGTATTTATTCGACTTGTGGACGTCCATTTAAACGGCAGCTAACTTCTTGATCGTTGGTCAAGTCTTTTGTCATCTCGTGCAGCTCATAGCCGTTCTTTATAACCTTGCATCACTTTTTCTGTTTTTTGTCTCATGTTATAAATGCGTATTACTCAGGTAGACGACTTCACATCGTCTTTTGTTGGGTTGGGTGAGGTTTGCAAATGGTGTTCATTTTCACACTAGACAGTCAGCTGTGAGTTGAACTAAGGCGCCTGCGCGTTCGCATTGGACAGAATGGTAATGTTTTTTGCATTCTGCTATGATCACTCCATAACATCACAACGATTCTGTTATTTGCAAGTGAAGTCACTGACTTGATACTCGTTTCTAGCTTGATTGCATCGAAGCATCATCAAGGAGAGGGGGTGATTCACTGCTCAAGAGAATCAGCAGTTGACAGAAATATTTTTGGTTCATAACTGACACCACAAAAATTCGAAGGCGTTCTTTAACCACTGCACTGCCTACCACCGGGCTGAAGCAGTGAAGCGATCATTTGGAGCTGTGCTGTGTGTGAATTTGCGTATTTTATTTTAAAATATACTCCATCTCTGTCTACCTAAAATTCTTAACTCATTGTCTATGAATTATTCCTTGAATGCTGTAGTTTGTGATTACTACTGTTGGTGTTGCGGCTGTCTAGTCGACTCCAACGACATTTTCCGGATTGCTGCTTTTTACTTCTTCTACCACCGCATTTCCGTAACCAATCTCAATCCTTTTGCACTGTTTTTTCGGTACATTTTCGGCTCATATATGACTAAAACATCAGTTCTGACCGTTTCACATAAAATCTTTGCTTATTCGTCTGTTTTCAGGTACCATCCAGTGATTGTGGTGTCGTTCAGTGTAATAGAAATGACATCGTTAGGCAGATATCTCAGCACCTGTGCCGGCAAACGCATGGATGCATTTTAAAACAGTGGAGAGCT